ATGTCGTTCACATTGGCTGTGAGCCACCACACTGCCTGCAGCTTCAGTAATACCACTGACCAGATGCTTTCCCTAGAAGCTCTTCTTTGATTCATCAAAACCCAGCTAACAAGTTCTGAGAAAATTTTCCAGACTCTCTAACTTCACACTGATTTCTGTCTGTTCCACTCGGTGGGCTCTTAATGTACTGTTGTGTTTTTTTTTGTTTGTTTGTTTTTTTCATTTATTTTTATTAGTTGGAGGCTAATTACTTTACATCACTGCAGTGGTTTTTGTCATACATTGAAATGAATTAGCCATGGATTTACATGTATTCCCCATCCCGGTCCCCCCTCCCACCTCCCTCTCCACCCGATGCCTCTGGGTCTTCCCAGTGCACCAGGCCCGAGCACTTGTCTCATGCACCCATCCTGGGCTGGTGATCTGTTTCATCCTAGATAATATACATGTTTCGATGCTGTTCTCTTGAAACATCCCACCCTCGCCTTCTCCCAGAGTCCACAAGTCTGTTCTATACATCTGAGTCTCTTTTTCTGTTTTGCATATAGGGTTATCGTTACCATCTTTCTGCACAGGAACTGCTTTCTCATTTAGAAATAGGTTTAAATTTACATCATAAATTTCTTGAGGGTAGGACCATGGTTTCTCCACTCAGCAATCCTAACACCTGAGACAGTACTCTGCACATTATAAGCAATCATTCATTTGTTTGCTGGGAGGGGGCTTCAGGATGGGGGTCACATGTATAGCTATGGCCGATTCATTAAAATAAATTAATTTTTAAAAATCTTTATGTTGGGTTCATTCAGAGGAAATAAAATCACAAGCATTAGTTGTTTACTATAATTAAACCCATTATCAGGAGTGTGAGCCCTATGATACTTTTGCGGGTTCCTACTATTCTCTTCTCCTCTGTGTCTTTTTTATCTGGTTGCTATAAAGCTCTCCCTTTATCTTAAGAATCTGACTATAATGTACTGAAGGTTTGGTTTTCTTTTTTCTCATTTGCTGTGTTCCAAGGCTTTATGGGTGGCTGTTTATTATCAAATTTGTCCATTATTTATTCTGAAATTATTCTGTTTCATTTCCTTCCTTGCTTTCTGATAATATCCCACAAGTTACTTATTTTTTGTTGTTATTCAGTTGCTAAGTTGTCTCGGATTCTTTGGAACCCCGTGGACTGCAGCACTCCAGGCTTCCTGTCTCCTTCACTGTGACAGAATTTGCTTAAACTCATATCAGTGGAGTCGGTGATGCCATCCAACCATCTCTTCTTCTGTTGCCCCCTTCTCCTCCTGCCCTCAGACTTTCCCTGCATCTGGGTCTTTTCCAGTGAGTCAGCTCTTTGTATCAGGTGGCCAAAGTGTCGGAGCTTCAACTTCAGCATCAGTTCTTCCAATGAACGCCCAGGACTGATCTCCTTTAGGATGGACTGGTTGGATCTCCTTGCTGTCCAAGGGACCCTTAAGAGTCTTCTCCAGCACCACAGTTCTAAACCATCAATTCTTCGGTGCTTAGCTTTCTTTCTTTCTTTTTTTTTTTTTAGCTTTCTTTATAGTTCAACTCTCACATCCGTACGTGACTACTGGAAAAACCATAACTTTGACTAGACAGACCTTTGTTGGCAAAGTGATGTCTCTGCTTTTTAATACGCTGTCTAGGTTTGTCATAGCCTTTTTTCTAAGGAGCAAGCATCTTTTAATTTTATGGCTGCAGTCATCATCTGTAGTGATTTCAGAACTCAAGAAAATAAAATCTGCCACTGTTTCCCCATCTATTTGCCATGAAGTGATGGGACCAGATGCCATGATCTTAGTTTTTTGAACATTGAGTTTTAAGCCAGCTTTTTCATTCTCCTCTTTCACCTCATCAAGAGGCTTTTTAGTTTTTCTTCACTTTCTTTTTTTCCTCTCTGCTTCAGTTTGGGTAATTTCTACTGGCTCAGTTTCAGATTTACCAATTTCTTTTGCAGTATCCTTATAAGTCCATCCAAAGACTGTGTTTTAATTTAATATTTATTTATTTTCTATTTTATAATTCTCATTCTAGAACTTCCAGTTGGGTATTTCTTGGTGTTTTCATATCTTTTCTATAAGCAATGCATAGATATAATAAATATGGTATTATAGATATAATTCGTAAATATATGCATATACAAAATATACGGGCTTCCCGGGTGGCTCAGCAGTAAAGAATCCACCTGTGATGCAGAAGCTGCATGAAACACAGGTTCTATCCCTGGATCAGGAAGATCCCCTGGAGGAGGGCGTGGCAATCCACTCCAGTATTCTTGCTTGGAGAATCCCATGGAGAGAGGAGCCTGGCGGGCTACAGCCCATAGGCTCACAAAGAGTCAGACACAGCAGAAGTGGCTTAGCATGCACGCACGCACATAAAATATATATGACACATATGTATTTGTGCATATATCTATTTATATATATGACATATATATGTATGTATATACATTGTGTGCATATCTTTTCCTATAAATTTTTACACATACAAAGTAGTTTTCAAATCCTTGTTTGTGCATTCCAAAACCTAAGTCACTTACAAGTCTCCTTCTTTTTATTGTGTTTTATCTCTGTTATGTGTACTATAGCCCTGCTTCTTCTTATGACTCAAGAAGTCATTCTGAACATTATGTACAAAATATTATAGCATCCTGAAATTTATATATTTATAGTTTTCTGAAGATTATGTCCAAAAAGCCAGTAGAGACTGAAGCGTGATATTTGTTTTGTTGTATTTATCAAAAAGTCTAAATCTTTGCTCTGGCTGGCAATGAAAGTGAGGGTCTGAGCATTCAGATTCCTCTTGGAGTTGAGTTGAGCTGAAGAGAGACTGTGAATAGCCCAGTTTCCAGCCTCCTGTTTTGATAGTTCAGTATATGAACTAGAGAGACTTTGAAGTTTCAGACATTTTTGGTCCACATTTTTATTTAGTATTAGTATCACCCTTGTACCTGTAATTTTGATAAATTCACTCATTAGTTCTAATAGGGTTTTGTTTTTCTTTAATGGATTTCTCAGAATTTTTTACATGAACAATTATGGGATCTGTGAATTAACATTTTTTACTTTTCTAAACTTTACTCCTTTTATTTATTCATTCTTGTTTTCTCCCACTGACTAAGTGCTGATAAACTTGTGTTGAAGTGGGAAAAAGATATCTTTGCTTTAGTTCTGATCTTAGTGAGAAGTAACTCAGTATTTCATCATTAAATAAGATAAAAGATGTAGATTTTTCAAGAATGACCTTTATCATATGGGAGGAAAATGCTTCTTTTCCTAGTTTGCTGAGAGTTCTATGAATGGATGATGAATATTGTGAAATGGTTTTTACACCCATTGAAAACATATTCTGTTAATATATTGAATTGCATTTTTTGATTTTCAGGTGTTAACTCAGCTTGAATTCTTAGGATTAAACACACCTGGTCATCATATATTATTCTTTTTAGTGCTGGATTTTATTTGATAATATGTCAAATATGTCAAAACTAGATTTTCATCTATGATCATGAGAAATATAGATCCATAATTTTCTTTTTTGGCATTGTCTTAGGCAGATTTTGGATCAGAGTAATTCTGGCCACATACAATAGAGTAAAAAGTGTTACTCCTACTTTTTCCAAAAGAATTTTAAAAATATTTTTGTTATTTTTCCTTAAATGTCTGCTAGTATTCACTAGTGAAATCATTTGGCCCTAAAGATTTTTTCAAGTGTTTAATTATGTATTCAATTTAATTGTAGTTGAATTTGGTATAGGACAGCTTTTAAAAGTTGTTAGCAGTTTTTATAGTTTGTGTGCTTTTAAGAAAGTCTGATTTTATCTAAATTATTGAATTATTTCGCATAATGTTGCTTATAAATTCTCTTACCATTTTTAATATCTTTAGTATCTCTAATGGTCAAACTCTGGATTTGTAAGTTGTCTATATTGTTCATAGATTTTGTTTCAGCGATTTTTGCTTTTTATTGTTTCCCTTCTACTTATTTTGGGTTCAACTGCTTTTCTTTCAGTTTTCTTAAGGTGAAAAGATTGTTCTTAGAATCAGATTTTAAATCCTTCTCCTTTGCTTATGTAACCATTAAAAGATATGTATTTCTCACTAATGGAGAAGGAAATGGCAACCCACTCCAGTATTCTTGCCTGGAGAATCCCATGGACAGAGGAGCCAGGCTTCTTCTCTGTCCATGGGTCACAAGAGTCGGACACGACTTAGCTGCTAAACCACCGCCAACCATTTCTCACTAATCACAGCTTTATTTGCATACCAAAATTTTTTATCTGATTTTTCCTAAGACTTCATTTTTTAGAGCAGTTTAACATTTACAGCAAAGTTGAGAAGTAGGTACAAAGACTTCCCATCTACTTCTTACCCTACACATGTGTAACCTCTCCTGTTACCATTCCAGCATCTCTCGCCAGGATGGTGCATTTGTTAACAAGGATGAACTTACATTGTACATAGTTTACCTTGGGGTTAACTCTTGGTTTTGTACATTCAGTGGGTTTGAATATTGTATAATGACATAACATCTTTCATTACAATATCATACAGAGTTATTTTCACTGTCCTGAAAATTCTCTATGCTCTGCTATTCATCTCTGGCCAGTCCCACTCCTGGCAGCTAGTTTTTATGCTGTAGTTGTCTTCTATTATCAATTGGACAGTTCACTCTTTCATGAATTAAGAGAAACATAAGATAATATTTTGTATTTACTTAAATTTACCTTTCTGTCACTCTTCATTCCTTCCTGTAGATGTGAGTTGTTTTTTTCCAGTTATTACAAATAACCAATGAATCTATCATGGAAGCTTTACTTATTTATTAATTTTTGATGGACTGCCATGTTCACCTAGTTAACCAAAAATTCTTAGCTATGGGTTTCAATTCCTGTTATTGTGAGATCACATGCATGCTCAGGAGAGTGATTTATATAGTTTATTAAGAAATCACTGCTGAAATTTTCAAATTCTGTCTAACAGGTCTATGGAAATGCAGGACCTAGCAAGTCCTCATCCACTTGTTGGAGGTGGTGATACTCCTGGAAGCTCTAAATTGGAGAAAGCGAATCTCAGCAGCACTTCAGTCACCACAAATGGGACAGGAGGTAAGTGTACAAGCCTGAAGACACCCGAATCACATTGCAATGTTTTTTGTAATTTTACATGGTACAGGTCTGCTAGTAAGTAAATATCTCATTAGCAATAATATCAGAATATTATATACTTAGTGGATTATTTATTGTTCTGTTCATTTTCTTGATATTTTTCCTCCTCCTCTATAACTGGAAATATTCAGAAAGAATAGATAGCCCTGGGCAACATTTTAAAGGCTTTTAGCAAGGCTTTCTTTTTGTATTTGCCCTTGTAAATATTTTTTAAAATGTACAAAATGTGTCCAAAGGATTTATGCTCTGATCTTAACACCCACCCCTGCCCCCCAAAAAAGAAATTATGCTAGTTTGGGGGTTTATTTTGAATTTTAAGAGAAAGGCTGCTCCAAAAGTTTTCTTAAAAATGGTTTTGGAAATAGAAAAATGTCCATATCTGCTGCATTTTCTTTTCAAAGAGAGAAATACCTAACATGTATTTAGAAGAGAAATTGAAATTTTTTCCAGACATCTTCTCATTTGATTAGCTTATGATTATGTCACAGCATATGGCAACAATAACAACTGTTTAAAATATTCCACCCTATTACTATTATAAAATACATCCAACTTGAAAGAAAATGTGATCTGATTTTTGCATCAGAATATATATATATGTGTGTGTGTGTATATATAGAAAGCCTATACATATATATATGGGCTTCCCTGGTGGCTCAGATGGTAAAGAATCTGCCTGCAATGCAGGAGACCCGGGTTTGATCCCTGGATGGGGAAGATCCCCTGGAGAAGGGAATGGCAATCCACTCTAGTCTTCTTGCCTGGAGAATCCCAATGGACAGAGGAGCCTGGCAGCTACAGTCCACAGGGTCGCAAAGAAATGGACACAACTGAGTGACTAAGACTCTACTTACATACGCACATATATGCACGTGTATAAGCTGTATTTTAAATTATTCACAGTTGTTTTGAAGTTTTGTAGATTTAGTTGTTTTCATTAATGAGTGAAAAATTATTTGAAAATTATTTTAATTTATAAGCTATTCATGTTATTAAATATTAGCAAAGCATTTGCCACATCATATTTTCTTTTAAATTTATGAAGTTTATACACCTCTTTACACTTATTTTAGAATAACTGTGAACTCTTAAGATTTTCTTTGTAGAGTTGTGTGGATTGCAACTTGCCTGTATTTAATCATTTTTTTACCCAAAACCCTTTGTAAATTAACATTTTCCCTGTTTATAGTGTTTATCTGTCTCTAAACATGCATCTATAATTTCAGCTAATTAATTGTAGGATTGCAAATTTTTAGGATTGTTTAGTGATAACTTGTGGAGTAAGAACATTCATATTTAAACCTTAACTTGGATGTAAATAATAAAGATTTTTAAAAACCCCATGCACTCTGAAACCAGACCATAAAGGTCACTAATCATTGTTATATATATATTTAACTGAACTAAACAGACCTGATAAACTAAAATGTAAAAATCATGCCATGCAGTTGTAATTTTGGCAAGAGGGCCAGAAAGCAGTCCAAGCATCAGTGCAATTGATGACAATTCTGGTACACTGCGCAGGCATTCAGACAATGAACCCTTATGCTGTTCCTGTTCTCAGGGGACAACATGACTGTTTTAAACACTGCAGACTGGTTGCTGGGTTGCAACACCCCCTCCTCCGCAACAAGTATGAAAGATGATGGTACACTGCATGTGTTTGGGCGTGTGGGTTTGTCCTTCTGGTTTGCTTCCTGTTGCTGTTTCTGTTTGCACTCCCTGTTCTGTATTCAGTTCTTAGAAAAGGAGACATGAACACACCTTTTAGTTGTTTATTGATAACAGTTGGCCACGTTTTGCATATCAACTAGCATTCTAATCTTGGGTCAGTAGTGTTCTTTTCTTAGGTTTTTCATAATTTTGCACAAATGGCTGCATCGATTACTTTTCTAACTACTTACCCGTTTATTAAATGGTAAGAATCCAGCACAGCTGCCGCATTCATGAGAGCAGTTGGAGCAGATTGTGCCTTTTGTCCCCACAGCCTATGAGTGTGTGTGCCTAGGTGCCTCGGTTGTGTCCTACTCTTTGCGACCCTGTGGACTATAGTCCCCCAGGCTCCTCTGTCCATGGGATCCTCCAGGCAAGAATACTGGAATGGGTTGCCATTTCCTCTACCAAGGGATCTTCCTGACCCAGGAATCACACCCATGTCTCCTGTGTCTCCTGCATTGCAGGAGGATTCTTTACCCACGGAGCCACCTGGGAAGCCTATAGACTTTAATAAATTAAATTCATAGCGTGGCAGAAAGATATTTTCTATTTTGTAGACTTTAATAAACATTATGATTAAAATGCTTAAAACAATATTAACTTTTAAAACTTACCATTTAAAATTTACCAGTAATGAAATTTATATTTTTAAAATTATTAATTGCCTCTTAAGATGTTTTAAACTATAAATGTTAGCTACAATCCTTTGTTTACATGTATATGATATAAATACAGGTTTCTCTGGGGGCTCAGTTGGTAAAGAATCTGCCTGCAATACAAGAGATGTGTTTGATCCCTGGATAGGGAAGATTCCCTGGAGAAGAAAATGGCATTCCACTCTAATATTCTTGCCTGGGGAATCCCATGGACAGAGGAAGCTTGGTGGGCTGCAGTCCATAGGGTCACAAAGAGTCAGACATGATTTAGTGACTTAACAACCACCAATATAATACACTTTCTCCCAAACCAAAGGTTCATACACTATCAAAATTTAAAAATTAAAGCCATATAAAACCTCTGTGGAATCACCCAATTCTAGGATGAAAAAGAAGATCTCAGGACATGTTAGAAATGTGCATTACAAGCAAGCAGCTGGAATAGCCACAGTTTGCCTGGGCCTTGCTGTATGTAGATTAAATTAGATAAATGATCAGTGAATGACGAGAACTCCATTATGCCCATTACTTAAATTTTTATAATTTTAGTTTCTTTTTTTTTTCAATTCCACACTTAAAACATACTTTTCATATGTAAAAATATGTTGCCAGAATTTAGTTCCTCTTAATAATAACTCAAGGGTTTTTTCCTGCAAAGAGCCAGACAGGAAATGTTTTAGGCTTTGTAGACATGCTGTCTCTGTCTCATCTAGGCAACTCTATCACTGTACCTCCGAAGTAGCCCTAGGCACTACAAAAATGAACAAGAGTGGTCAGGTCCCAATAAAACTGAATCTATCGACTCTGAAATTTAAATTTCATTAAATTATCGTGTAACAAAATATTCTAATTTTGATGTTTTTATAAACATTTAAGATTCTAAAATCGTACTTAGCTGTTATTCTATTCTAAACTATTAACATAACACATACAACTTTATAATAGTGAATATATATAATCAATATTTAGTAATTTACTTCTAATTTCCAACAGAAACATTTTTCAAAGTGTAAAACATCAAGTTTTCCTGGTTCTTTGTATTAATGTTTAAGAGTTGTGTGACCATATGGGAAAAACAAGGATTTCTGAGTCAGGAGGACTGTGGATGTGAAATGTGGTAATATATTTACCAGCTATGTCTTCTTAGACAAATTACTTAACCTCTCTGAGTTTTAATTCTTTTCTATAAAAGGAAGCTAGTAATACTTCACTGGCAAGGCTTTTGTTTTAAATGTATGTTTATATATACATAATCATACATTTAGTTTCATATAATGTATATAAATTTTTGGTAATATAAACCAGCTTCCCAGGTGGTGCAGTGGTAAAGAATCTGCCTGCCAATGCAGGAGACACAGGACACATGGGTTCGACCCCTGGGTTGTGAAAATCTCCTGGAGGAGGAAATAGCAACCCACTTCAGTATTCTTGTCTGGAAAATTCCATGGACAGAGGAGCCTGGTGGGCTACAGTCCATGGGGTTGCAAAGAGTCAGACATGACTGAGCATGCGCACACACCAATCAGTATAATCCCTTTTCCTTAATTAATAATTCATTGATAATTAGGCAACAGTTTTTAAGGAAAATGGAAACATGCAGTGTGTTAAAAGACTGTCCAGTGTTTGGTCAAATAATACATTTTCTTCATTTAAAACATGTAAACTGGCCACGGAGGCAAACTTTTTAGTAATTAAGTGTTAAGTATACTTTATTAATGATAATATAATTTTATTTATTTATTTATAATTGTATACTTTATAAACTTAATTTATTTGTATATATCATTAGTGATGATATAATTTGTTTATAAATCTTAATTACATAATATAGTTTATTGTATATTGGTGACATAATGATATGAAATAGAATTTTAATGACTCTTTATGCCATGTATTTGTAACATAGCTAAGCATGTGGTGCACATTTCCCATTTAGAGGAAACTATTTTATTTATAATTCTGGATTTTAGTGATGGAATTAGATTACTTTATAAAATTATTGTAATAAAACAAAAGGCAAAAGCTAATTTAGTGGCTTTTCAAAATCTTTCCATTAGCTCTAGATTTTCAAAAAGATAATTTTAATAGTTTTTACTAATATCACTACTAATAGTATCACCTTAATATCCAACCATACTACCTTGGTGCTGTGTAAATATATTACTCCTTAATTTATAAGGGTTCATCACCTTAATCCTAATTATATAATAACATCTGCAGATTTATATTGGAACCTCGATTTTCCTTTCAAATCTTTGTCACTTGTTAAATTGTTAAAATGAAGAACTGTCAATAAAAATAGAGTAAATACAATCACACCTTGGCGTATAGATCAGTGGTCAACAAACTTTTTCTGTAAATAGTCAAATAGTAAATATTTTCAGCTTTGCAGGCCATATGGCTGAAACTCTCCAACTCTGCTTTCACTGCACAAAAGCAGCCATAGACAATATGTAAACAACTGAACTTGACCATATTCAAATAAAACTTGATCTATGAACACTGAAATTTGAAATTCATAGAATTGTCATATATCATAAAATATTATTCCTCTTTGATATTTTTCAGCTATTTAAAAATATAAGGATCATTCTTAGCTTGCAGGCTATACAAAACAAGACATGGGATAGATTTGGCATGTAAGGTGTAGTTTGCTGATCCCGATATAGATTCATGCATGTTACTTCATGTATCATGCTTCATGTGTTTGCATATACATGTATGTAAATGCATGCCAATCATGTGAAAATTACTTCCGTATATAAGATTCTGATCTCCCTAATAGTGTTAAGATACATGATTAGCTGCACTTTATATGCAAAATACTCAGATTCATTGGAAGTTCTTAGGATACGGTCTAAATGTGAATTTTCACTTTCTCACTTAAAATATATCAAGTTCCTCTTATATGCCAGGCTCTGTGCTAGGAAATAGGAACCCAGTGACCTATAGAACATGATACTGGCCATCAAGGGACCAAAAGTCTAGCAGAGGGAAACAGAACTGAAAGTAATGAGTGCATAATGTGTTCAAGGTGGGTGCACAGCAGAGGGGGGAATATTTGATTCTACATGGAGATTAAGAAAATACTTCAAAGAGATTTGGGGGAACCAGTATCAGACATTCTGATCAGGTTTATGGTATTTTCTATATTTGAAATCTATATAGCATAGAAAAGGATCTCCTAGAATTTTTAGTATATAGATGATTGACTCACATGGGATGAATTTGTTTCTGAATATTATATGTCTGTGCAGTAGAACCACCTACTGTTGTGGCTCTGCTCTTTTAGATTTTCTTTTTGGAATGAAAGCCATAAATTGTAAGCATCATCAAATCATTTTACAAAAGCTAAATACTTTATGGATATTTAAAATGAAAGACACTTGATGCTCGTAGGTTTTGAAATGAAAAAATTGATTTAGAAAAACATAAATCATAAAACTGGTAGGCAACACTTCTTTCCCCCCTGTTGAGTTGTAAATTGTATCCTTCCTGAACTAACTTTTCCTGAAATTCTTTCCAGAATCTAAGTTATCAGAGGTGGCTAAGCAATATTTTGTGGCCCAGTTTAAACACAGATTTCTGAGGATAACATGTGAAATGTAAATTACTTAGGTCACCTCTGTTTCAAGGATTAATTAAGTCTTATATTGTAACAAATGGACATGATCCTTGAGTTATGATAATAGACTTCCCCTAAAAATAATTAATATATATTAATTTTGTACTTGAATTCTGAAGATAATCTGAGGTGACAAGATTAAGTTTGCTTTGAAAGTACTTGCATGAGGTTATGGAAGATGTTGGGATGTAAACAGAGAAAATCAATGATTCAGTAGCCATAGCTGACACCTGACAATAATCACATGCATTTTTGATTTAGTCCATAGAAATCAATTATTTCTAAAAGTTAAAAATAAAATTAAATTTTATCAGTATAATAAAATTACTTTGACTTTTTTTTAGTATTTGGCTTTATGTAAAACATCTAAGTTGCAAGAGGATAACTAGTGTGGAGGGGGCCTGTCAATACAATTATATTTTGAAATAATGGTTTTGTATAAAACGCTACATGTATGTAGTTTTTTCATCCCACCTTTTGGGAAATGAACCCTTGAATCACATATATTGAGCATGTAGAAGAATAAAACCACAAAACTCTCTAACCTAAGCACTAAAATATGACTGCTGCTTTTTAAATCAAAATGTTTATTTTATAAGTTTGAGTTTTGGTGATAAAGAAGATGCTTTTCTTCAAAAGAACATTATTATTTCTGTTTTATATCTTATACTGTAATCATATTGGACATTGTCCTGAAAAAAGTTAAAAGCCCTGTTTAATTTCTGTGTTAAGAAAAATAGAATACAGTAAAAAAAAAAAAAAATTGAATATGACAGTGAATACACTCCATAAACTTTTGGAATGAAGATTTTTATGTTTTAGAAAATAGATGCATAGAACTAGACTTGTTTCATTGATGAACATCTTTCTAATAGTGCCTTCCATATATTAAATTAACAAAGTTTCCTGCCTCTAGAAAAGTATATGGTATATCTCATTTAAAGTGTAGAAATAAAAACAAGACAAAAGAAAATGAAATACATTTAAAATATATTCAGACTGTTACTGAAAATATCTTTCATTTGTCAAACTTTGTGATTATCATTTTTAGACACTTCTTTGTATTTTAACATCTTTAATAAATCAGCTAATCATATAATGTCTATTTCACTTCTAAGTTTCCTTTTCCTGAGAAAAAAAAATTATTACTTAATATTATTTACTTTCTCTATAAAAATCAAAATAACTTTGCATCTTACTCAAGAGATGTTTGTTGATGCTGGCCTCCTATGAGCATGTTATTTTCTGTAAGCAGCATGATTAATTCTCCCCCTTTTCCCTATTATTCAACTCTTACCACATATGAAAAATAAGTTTATATTAATGTACGCTGTTTTCCCCCAGATGTTAGCATCCACTTAGCTATTATTTTAAATCCCTGCATTCTGGTACACTGAACACATCTTGGTGTGTATGCTTCTTTTTATATTCTTTCTAGAGATGCCTCTTTTCAGTTAAATGAACCTCCTTTGTCTTTGACTAACAGCAGACTTTTAAAATTTTAATGAGAAATGTTTCCGGGATAATGAGTGCAACCTGGTTGCATTCATTCTCTAGCTTTCCTTCCTTCTCTTTTTGACCACCTGAAATTTTCAAATTGAGGAGATTATAATCAACACCAATACTAAGTTTTTGAAATCAGACCTCAAAGTTGGGATTCAAAGTAACAGAACTAAAACCTCATGTTTAGCTTGGGGATTTTTTTAGACATTTTGCCGCAGTCTCCATGGTTCACAAGTGCAATATAGATTACCTTTAGTATTAATAAATCTATTTTACAAATGTCATTTATAGATTTAGACATGTTTAAATGGGAATTTAGCCACAATTAGAATTTGGAGGTTCTGAGAAACTGTCTCTTGCCTTAGTTTTGCTGGAGGCTTTGGATGGTTCCTTTCTGTCATATGTCAAAAGTCAGCTGAGGACATTGCATCACTGAGAGTAGCTGTTACACCTTTCTAAACCCTGCCCTGGATCATCTCTGTACAGATGAAAGGAATTCTTGGTTAGTTAGTGCTGCCTGTGAGGCAATATGGTTTAGAGTTTAGATTCTTGCCAACCTTTGCGGTTTGAATCTTCCCGCAAATCTTCATGACATAGTTAGACCACGGATGCTAAATTAACACCGGAGCTCGCTGAGGGAGAGTGCAGTGATTCCGTTCATGTGGAAGGGACCCTAGTCATTACTGCGTGTTTCTCTGTCCTTAATCGCTTTTCTAACAGAGTAACCTTGCTGACTTGCTTGGTTGGTGGGTGTGCTCTGAGCCCACTATTCTTTCAGCCATATCTGTTCATAGTTGGCTAGTCTTCAGCTTTCTTTATAGTTCTCTGCTTGCTTCTGAGGTTTTTGCTTCTCTGCTTGCTTCTGAGGTTCTCTGCTTGCTTCTGAGGTATTATTCCATTTATAACTAGGAAACATAAGAGGTGTCAAGTAGAAAATAATTTAGTGTATTCCCTGGCTGCTGTGATATATGGAGCTTTGCCCACAAAGGGAAAATATGGTGTGACAAAATGGGTGGAGGCTTCTGCCTAGCCCCTGCCAAACTCGTTGCATCTAATAATGACAGTATTGTGCACCTCAGTGGCAACATCATTGCCCATGAGGATTTTGCCAAGATATACCACCTCAAAGGAGAAATAATATATTAAAGAGTTTTCAAAAGCTATACTTCCTGCTGTAAAAACCATCTCCTATGCTTGTCTCTATAATGTATTAAAGATCATTATACTATTAGAATAAAAAAAAAAACCCAATACCTTATGGCTCTTTTGTCTTTATAGAGCAGAAATTTATTGAGTGCCTGATTTTTCACCCACTATATGAATACACACCCAGGTTTCTGTGTATGCATATGCCACCATTGTTCTTAAAGCAGTCTTTCCTTTTAATGTCTTCTTGGGAAGAATAAAATATAAGCAGTAAATCTCTGTCATGATTTGGATTCAGTGTGCTGAAGACTGACTGATGATTCCTTTCTTCTACCGTTTGACTATAATATCAGAGTGTGCTTAGGTGAGTTAAAAATGCTGTTTCTCTGCGTCAGGTTAACTGCCTTTAAAAGCCAGATTCAAGAGAAGCAGCTTAGACAGAGGATTTTTAGATTAAATCCTCTATAAATGCATGTCCATTTAGAAGCTAAATTAACAAAACTCTCCTCATCGACTTCTCAGATTTTCTCTTGCATGCCCACGGTAGCTAGAAAAGCCACTAGTTGAACAGTCAGCATCTTTGATATAAAGTTAGAAATATAACTCACATGTACTTATTCTTCTACATAGTGTCTCTCCTTGCAGTCAAAACAGAACCTTTGAACAGCAGTGACGCCACAGCCACGACTGGAGACGGAGCGCTTGACACTTTTACTGGGTCAGGTAAAGCCTTACGCGTGTGCCTCGTTCTGTACACATTGTGGTCCATGTCATCCTCCTAGTGAATAATCGAGAATTTGGATTTTTATAAATCCAGCAATAAATTCACTTGTGGGAAAATGTATTATCATAAAATGATGTGTTTTTAGAAATAACGTTTGGAATCGTTTTATTGCATCTGCAGCTGGCAACCAAGCAATGCCCCGACATTCTTATTAGAAATAAGCAAAGCTTGCTTCTTTCGTAATTATTTTATACAGTGCTTGATTTAATTATTAGGTTGTAATAGTCAACGTTGTTCCTTCAACTTGCCCGTTTAAAGGACTAAAAACTGCCTTCTCTCCAACATTCGAGATGTAAAACTATCCATTCGATTCCTTCTAAATAGCCTTGTTTCCTCTCTGGGTTTTAAAAAAAAAAAACCCTCCCATGTAAGCAGCTGAGTGACAAGTATTAAAGGTTAATGGACTGCAGGAGAACACATGCTGGTCGCATTAGAACCCAGCCTCTGAGTGCTGACTTTCCCTCTGATGCTTCAAAGAGAACAATAGTGTGTCTTTAAACATCAATCCTCTTTAAATATAAATACCTGATAACTCCCAGGTGGGCACAAACGACTCTAAGGATTCCACCCCCTCCTGCCCCACACAATGTTTCATTTGGTTGATTATCTGATGAGAGGGCTTTTTTTAACCTGAGGAGGAATTTGTATAGCAGAAAGATGAACATTAAACCTAGAAAAGTATTCATGATATTAAATCTTGGTTCTGTTATTCTACTCTAATGTATTTTATACTTATTTGTGTTCTCACATACAAGAATTTGATGTGGGTATGCTTCTCATGTGAAAAGAGTGGAGGTAAAGCCTTGAACTCTAATGTCATTATAGCATATATTTGATTTTCATAGATGCAGATGATCCCATTTCATTGGTTCACACTGATTGGAAGCAGTTGCCATGTAGTCACATAAATATTAGTACTCCAAACAGAAAGATATAATAATTTATACACTTTGTATAGAGAAGCTTTGGAGAAGGAACTGGCAACACACTCCAGTGTTCTTGCCTGGAGAATCCCAGGGACAGGGGAGCCTAGTGGGCTGCCGTCTATGGGGTCGCACAGAGTCGGACACGACTGAAGCGACTTAGCAGCAGCAGCAGCAGCAGCATACAGAATCTTGTGTCCTAATTCACATCCTTTCTAGCAATTCTCTTGCTGCTCAGGAGATAAGGTACTAACTTACCCTAGCATTTGTATTACTAACATACTATAACTACTGTAAACTTTCTGCAAAACAAATGCATATATGAACATGGTTTTTAAGGTTAAGAATGAAATAATTGCTGACATACTTCAATAGCATACCACAAAGTTAATGAAAACTGACTGAAAAAATTATAAGGTGTTAGCTCTGGAAGAAATTGCAGCGATCACTGATGATCCATTATAAGAAGCAAGAGTGTCGAGGCACAGAGATGCTAAAGATGGTTAGGCCAAACAGTCAGGGCCTCCCGGGTGGTCACTGGTATAAATGAGTCTAGAACAATGTCCTGGTCAGTCCAAGAGTCCTTTCTTTAAAAGTTTATTGGAAAATATAAAGATGGAAAAAGAAATATGTGTGAACTGTCAAGCTGTCTGGACTTTACTGTCTGGAATTTACTCATATTATATTTACAAATAGTTTCCCAGTTTTCTTTTAAGAATTATGTAGGGTTGGGCTGTCCAGAAAAGTAGCCACTGGCCATATGTGTTTATTTAAGTCTAAATGAAATACTATTTGGTTAAAAAGCAAGAATTTTTTAATCTAGTCATATTAATTATGTTCTAAGTTTTTAATAGTTGTATGTGGGATTTTTTTTAATAGTGGCTTGTTTAATAGTTGTATGTTAAATAATTTTTAATGGCTACCGTATTGGACAACTCAGATATAGACTATTTCCAGCTCCATGGACCAAGTCCAGTTGTGTGTGTGTGTGTGTGTGTTTGCACACACGTGCTTAGGCACTCAGCCATGGTTGACTCTTTGCAACTCCATGAACTGTAGCCCACCAGGCTTCTCTGTCCATGGGATTTTCCAGGCAAGAATCCTGGAGCAGGTTGCCATTTCCTCCTCCAAGGGATCTTCCTGACCCAAGGATTGAACCCACATATCTTTTGCCTCCTGCATTGGCTGATGGGTTCTTTACAACTGCTCCACCGGGGAAGTCAAGTTCAGTTGGACAGAGTGATTTAGGTCAGGGATTCTCAACAGCACTGCTATTAAAAATGCAGCCTTTTTTTTCTTGTGGAGGAGCTGTCTTCTGCAATAGAAGGTGTTTATCAGTATGCCTGGCACCTATCCCAAGTTAATTGTAGCATGCCTCCGTTGTGACAGCTTACCGCGTCTCCTGACATTTTTAATGCTCCCTGGCAGGCAAAATTTCTACCCATCCCACTACTCATCTCCCATCTCTCATCCCCTAGAGAGGCAGTGATCTAAGGTATTACAGAAATAAGGGTAAAACCTTAAGATTGCTTGATACCACCTTGTGAGAATCTGATAATGTTCATTTAAAATGTCTTACCTAATTTTCAGACATTCTGAAGACAGACATTTGCTTACTTTTATATGAGGAAATGATGGAATATAATAAGTTGAGTGCTTTGCATACATTTCTTGATTAATTAAATGCTGATAGGGAATAAAAGGAAGGTCTCCTAAATTTATACATGGTGTTCCAAAAATCATACGCAGAGAATAGACTGTGTAGGAACAGTCTTTACTTTGATCAGCGTAATCTCAGCTCACTTTAATCCAGTATTGTCATTGTTTTTAGTTATCTGCAGATTTATTAGAATAAAATGTATACTGTATAGTCAAGAAGTATAAATTTTCTAAGTTTTATGTAAACAATTTTCTGAGTCAGAGGTTTTGTTTTCTACTTAGAAAATGAACATATAGGCATTAATATGAAATTTTAAAAGTTGAATCTTTGTACTGTTATGGGTACATTATTCTAATGATATCTAGATTCATTCATTAGAGGGAAGAAGCATCCTGTATATTCAGAATTGTGTTCATATATGTGAGGCTTTTTAAAAAATAATTTTGTTTGGCTAATTCAATAAAAGCTAAGTATTTTTTTCATTATTTGATATTACTTTAGAAAAGCCTTGTGTTTCACAATCTTGACAATAACTGATTAGTATAGTCTAAGTCTTGCGTGTACCACAATGAAGTTTTATAAATGAGATGAAAATGTGAAATTAGGCCTTACTTAACTATATTTCTGCTAATCATTGTTAATTAATGAATCAGACTGAATTTCCTACACGGTATACTGTTGCTATTACACAATGTATGTTTAGTACCCATGATGTGATAGAAAAGGCTTGTTCTCATTGAGTTGATTTGAAAGTTTTGAACATTTTTTATGTTTTTAATAAACAAGTAAAAAATTAATGGCTCACTGCTCCACATATTTTCAAATATACCTAGCAAATTCACTTAAATTTTGGTTGCTGAAAACATTTAAGACGTTACACCTCAAATCATATTCAGTGATTGTCAAAACTGATTCATACTATTCTTGAAAATGTACTTTCTGCATTATTGCTATGAAAACTATAATATACTCTCCATACTCAGAGCTTACAGTCCAAATAGCATTTTAAATACATTAAATTCTATGTGTTTATGAAGCCATAGATCACAAGGGTACTTAATAGCATTTGGATATAGAAATATATCATGTTTCATAAAATAGTTAGCAACCTAAACCTATTTGTCATTTTTACAATTCTGAAAGTTTAGCTCCAGAATTATGAACAACTTAGAAAGGACACAGTACTTTGAAGTATAACTATGATTGATTAGGCTAAACTAATTCCAGCGCTGCATTGTATACTACTTTAATCTTTTTGAAAAGTGAATGAACAGCAGATGGCCTAATAAAGACACTCTGTGTGCTTGCCCAGTATGGATTGGCTCTGAAGGGACGGCCTTAACACTTTAGGGTCCATATATTTGCAATACATCTGTCTTAGTCAAGGCAGATGGTTAAAGGAAAAAGAAACTTCCAGACTTTTGGAAATAGTCCAATTTGGGACTGCATGTTTGGCTGAAATGTTGGTAAGACCTGATTTTCACCTTTAAAATCTTCTCAACAAAGTCCAGTCTGTGAGAGTTCAAAATACATTTGTAAATAGGATTGCTGCTGGGTGTCATAGTTCTGCTTTTTTTCATGTTGCATTGTCACCCAGGCTTTCTGTGTATATTCCAGTTATTACGAGAATTATTTGGACTCTGCATTTTAACTGCTCATCAGATTGACAAAATGAAAGGAAATAGAAAGCATTATCATTTTATAACTTGAAAATGAAGGTTGAAACATCACATTTTTCTTAAGTTTTATTGTATTTCTATTAGAGTAAATGCAGAGGAAGAATACGATTTTGTCATCATGTTTGGAATTTAAAACATGAAGTTTGCAAATGAAAAGGTTTACTTTTATATCATGAAAGCTTAATTACTTATAATCAAGGATATTTATTCATAGCATATTAACGCATAAGACCATGCCACTGATTTGAGAAAATGGAAGAATGATGAAGGGGATTGATTTGTGAGAAGATATCATGTCATTTTCCTAGAACAAATATGGAACAGTTTAATTAGAAGAAAATGTTTAGGCATCTGTTTCTATTTAGAAAACAAATGAATTTTCTGTTTAGAAAATGAATGATTTTTTTGAAATACCTCTCTAACATGGCCATTTCTTTAAATTAGTTTTGATTACTCCAGTGGAACCAATGAAATATATTTATGAAGCAACCTTTTTTCTATTTTTTGTGTCTCACAGTAATAACAAGTAGTGGCTACAGCCCTAGATCTGCACATCAATATTCCCCACAGCTGTATCCTTCCAAGTAAGTGGTCAGTAGTCTTTCAGATTTGTTAGAATAATTTTCTGGGATTATCTTGATTAATCATATTTGCACAATATAATAGCTTCAAATCAGGGTATATTTATATATATAAATGTTATAGATAGTTGAATAGATAGATTCTTGGATAGATTCATCAGATAGATTAGACCTATAAATAAATATCTTTCACAAATCTAGGAATATATTCACTTTTGTCCAGACAGTTCCTTTAATTCTGAACATTTATATATTTTGAAGAAAGCATCAAGCACAGATCAGAATATACTGTTTTTTTAATAAAAATTTGAAAACTCTTACTAGTTTAAAGAAAATCTGCAAAGATTACATTTTACTCAAACCTCAACACTTCATAATTTGTTCCAGCTTTATGATATTTTTATTGGGTCTCAAATATTAATAAACATTTTGGAAAAATATACACTATTGCTTTTATAACTAATGTAGTCAGTGTTTTGAGGACAGTGGTAAACATTTCAAGCTTAACTGTATTGGGTGTATATCTGAATTTGGTTGCCATCAGAGAGATAAGATTTGGGATTCTTGATCATGCACATTTAAAAGTTATTTTCCGCAACAGCTACAGTGTTTATCCTTAAGCATAGGCTAGAGATTGGATATCTATTTTGAGGACATTCTGTAAGATGTGGCAAGATGAAGGGAAAGGCTTTACATTTCAAGAAGCTGCGTACTTAAAAAAAAAAAAAAAATGTTTTGGTAAAATTTTTAGTTCTTGTAGGGAATTCTTCCTAGGACTTTTAATGACTTTTGTAGTCATTACATGGCATTGGGTCATGCATGGTAACAGGAAATAATGCTCATGAGTTAATTAATTAATTAACTGACCTGGGCTCATTAATTAACTGACCTGGACTCCACTTGCCTCATCTACATATCAATTGGAATACTATTTCAGATATAAGCAATATAGACCTGGAAGAGCCTTTCAGGATGATATCTAAACCAAAGTTTTCTTTTCACAGGTGAAGTATAGACGTAGGAAGTTTATTTGTCCAAGGTATTGAGACTGGGTTATAGCAGAGCCCGGTTTCCTGACATTCAGACTCTTGTCCTTTTCTATATTGTTAAAATGATATTGTGGATAAAGAAGAGGATTACTTCCTGGCTATTATCAGGTTTCACTGAATCTAAGCTGTCTGAAATAATATGCAGTCTTTGTTGCCACAGTAATGCTATTTTTCTGATATTTAGGCCCTATCCACACATTCTTTCTACACCAGCAGCTCAAACAATGTCCGCCTATGCAGGCCAGACTCAGTATTCGGGGATGCAGCAGCCAGCCGTCTACACTGCCTACTCTCAGACAGGACAGCCCTACAGCCTGCCCACTTACGGTATTTCACGTCTTCTCTCTTCTCCTTCTTTGGTTACAAGCAGGTAATCCTGCTGGCTAGTAGTTGTATATTCTAATATTCTTATTTAGACTCTTATATTCTAATATAAGTTGCAACTCATGTTACAGCACGATCATTTTACTAATGAAATGGTTTGCACATGCACTTTCCAAACAGATCTGGGCGTGATGTTACCAGGCATCAAGACAGAGAGTGGACTCTCGCAAACTCAGTCCCCGTTACAGAGTGGGTGCCTCAGTTACAGCCCAGGCTTCTCTACCCCACAGCCAGGCCAGACCCCTTATTCTTATCAGATGCCAGGTAAGCAGTCACGCAGGAAACGTGTTAAATGAAAAAGAATTCTTTGAATGAGACTCCTTGGCTTCAGACTGAGAATATATAGTAATGAAGACAGTATTAAATGCTACCACTGCTCAGACGATATCATTGGAAAAGATAACTAAGGGGGAACATGATGAAAAGAGCTCAACACACATCAAGAAACATGACCCATATTAAATTTAAATACTTAAGCTTAAGTTGCATAAAATTGGCAGGAAGCTAAATCCAAGCAAAGCAACCTCCAAGCCAGTCACCACACCAGTCACATGTTTGGCATCTACTTAAGGGATTTCAAAGATTCATGACAAAATCCAGCATTTTCTTGTCAGGATTCCTTATGTATGTAATGCTGTTTTGATTTAATTTAAAACTGAGTTAGCACTTTTCTAAGTCCTGTATTTACTGTTGAATGATTGAGGATTTCTTTTTTTTGTTCATTTCTTAAATACCTCCCCCCTGTTAGTACTATATTCCTTAAATAGGAATATTTAAATCATTTGTACCTCCCCTCTTAAAGCTTTTTTTTCCATATATGATCATTATTTAATTTTTCTTTTTGTCTCCAATTAAAAATTATTTTTGAACATTGTATAGTAATTGCAGAAAATAATTTAGTGACATGGTAAAAACATTAAAAGCTTACTTTTTATCTGTCATTGTTTTCTAATGATTAGTCATAGTTTGGGGGCTATCTGAACATTATTCAAATGAACTATTATTGACATTTTGGTTGATTGACTAAAATGAAATAATTACTTAGGCCATTTTTGGCTGAAATGACAGGTGTCTTTTTTCCTTATAATGTTGGTAGATAAATATTTGCATATATGCCTCAGCTTCAGTTGGCAGTGTGGAAAAGGCCATAGAGACATTTCCATTTATTCCCCAAAATACTTTTATATTGGATATTCCAGGCTACATTAATTTGTGTTATTACCTAATACTATTGCTATTCAAAACATGTTGATAAAAAAAAATAATCAGGTGCCTTACTAGTCTTTTATTCCTTAACAAGTGCATTCCATGAGAACATATTTTTTTTGAATCTATAGATTGATAGTTTGCTTGTTTTTGCCCTAATTTTAAATAACTAAATAACCTGCTGACTTTGTCATAAAATTTTTGGTTATCGAACCTTAGATGATTGTGGTATAAACAGTTCTCCCTTGGGTCTGAGCCCTAGCCTACAGCTTTTTTGTTCTAAGGAAAGGACATAAAGGAACAAACAAATGGGATGCTGGAAGCCTCATTTCTAAATGGATTCTGTACGTTTATTTCCTAAGCTAGCCTCAGCCAATTGTTTAAACTTGAGTAGTTTTTGTATGCATATGCAGTTGATATGGCCATTAAAAAGTTGCAGTTGTTTCCTGGAAGTAGTCTCACTTTCCCTATTTTATTCTTTGAGTACTTCTGTACATGTAGACATTGGCCCTTGAAAGGGCCAGCATTCTAAAGGAAGGAATTTACCAGTTGTCACAAGAAAAAGCCAAGCATATTTCCCTTGAAAATCTCTCCATTTCAAATCTCACTGCCTCAACAACAAAATTTAAAATATATTGCATTGAATTCTGCAAAGTGAAATATTTTAATATTTTTCAAGAAATACTTTTTAAATGCCATTTGTTCTTTTATCTCTAGGTTCTAGTTTTGCTCCATCTTCTACTATTTATGCAAATAATTCAGTTTCAAATTCAACGAATTTCAGTGGTTCACAACAGGTATAGTAGCTTTTTATATTTATGCTTTTTATATATATCAGAGTTTTGAAGAATAGTATCAGGTTAATAAACTTTATTTAAAGTTAAGACAGAATTTCAGAGTAGTAAAGATTAGCTATCTAGATACTTGGGATATGTATAATTATGGGTATTTTAGGTTTCCTGATTGCTAAAGGTTTAGCTTTTAAACATTTAAGCCATGATTGTTTTAGTCATGGGAAGAAATGAGAAAATCTACTGCATCCTTTCTGATTATCTTAAACCATACTAAATTAATTTTATTTCTTAATAAAAAAGTTATGAAAATTGATAAGTTGAGCTATAATCAATAATCAGATTATGATATAGAGTATTGAGCATGCCTTGGTCCAAACCCAAATCATTTTTTTCCAAAACAAAATGCGTCTCAGACTCCATACTGGCTTTTATTTTTTAGTTCTATGAATTTTTTGATAACTTTTTTTGATAACTTTAGTTCCTGCTCTCCTGAGAACTGTAATTTTTTGCTTTTGTCTTTATACCTTCTCCTAGAATTCCTTAGCTGTCCTAGTGATGTTTGCTTAATCATTTTGTGAATTTTGAAACTTACGATTGTTTCTAGAATCATGTTAGAATTATATGTGGAGCAAGAATCAATGTCTCTGAAAGGGTGAATCAGCATGGAAGGAGATGGATTTGTGATATATTCAGAGACTTTCTTATTTTCTACCTCTCAGTTATGTTCAGAGTAGTTGAGATGGGAGGATAGCTGGTTTCATGGGTAAGCAATACACTATTTTACTCTTAACAGACTTGCTGGGCTTCTGTATGTGTTAAAATAAAAGTTACTGGACAAGCGTTTGCTCTTTGGATTTACTGAAGGAATTATATTAATTGCCTTCTCCTGTCAATTCTTATTAGGACAACAAGAGGCTAAGAGGAAAATTTAATGATTAAACAGTGAAATAATATTAATAATATTTTGACAAGATTAAACTGCATAATTTGGCATTAGTTTGAAAAATGGTTTCTTAAAACACTAAACGTCAAGACCAGTATGTATATTTTATTATCAAAAATTAAGAATTTTTGATAATCCAGGTGGCTTAATTTCAGTCACTCATTTATTAATACACTGGGCATTTATTGAGTACCTGTTAGCCATTAGATTTTTTGACTATGCATTGAAGATTTGAGAATTGTAAGTCAGTGTTCCCTGCTCTTTGAAAGGATCCAATCCTCCTAAAGACATAGATATGAAAATAATATGGACAAGGGGTAGAATATTTTAATGTAATAATAGAAATATACACTAGACAGAGTGGAAGCATAAGGAAAAGACTGCTTTGTTCTACTTGGGAGGATTCAAAATGTAATACATAAAAGGATTTTGAAGGACTATTTAGATCATTTTAGAATTATTAAAAACTTTTAATAAAAAGCAAGTGAGTGGAATTGATCCAGTGGCTTTCCTTTTTCCTTAACAAATGATGCAAACTAAATATTTGAAAACCTCACTGAAGATTTATTTAAGTCAAGGCCTCAGGTGGAAACTAGCCTGTGAGAAACTGGGTAAGAAAATCTTTTAATCATTTTATTAAAATTATCTCCTGCCAAGAAAACAAAATTATCAAGGGCAGCCTACAAAGGGAACAAATACCACATTAATGCAGCCCAGGGTCGGTGTGGAAGTGAAGGAAGGGCACACCTCCTTCTTGCCAGTGATTTTAGAAGATGAGATTGAATGCTGTGAATGCAGGCATCTCCTTCTCTCTTCTTCAAGTGCATAAGATCTGACAATGTATACCCTTGGATGCGTAATTCTGAATAAGGGAGTAAAGCATATATGATCTTTAGGTAGATTAAAATGTGTGTTCTGCACCTGGTTTGCAAAACCGCACAGGGTATTTCATTACTGTGTGCATGTAAAAGATGCCCACAGAATGGTCTCTGCTTTTTAGGATCACCTTAAAGCTGTGGACTCCAGAACCAGTGAGCCAGATGCTGTTCTTTCTGTTACCATTGTGATTGCCTTTCTTTGGAGCATGCCAGAGGAGCATGTCTTTCACACACACACATCTCAATTGTTATTTCAGGATTATCCATCCTACACAGCCTTTGGCCAAAACCAGTATGCACAGTATTACTCTGCATCAACGTATGGAGCATACATGACATCAAATAACACAGCTGATGGCTCAGCCTCCACGACTTCAACCTACCAGTTGCAGGAATCTCTCCCAGGACTGACTAGCCAACCAGGTACAGATCTTCATCCAGGTGAAATAATTTTTTATAAGTTTTGCTTGTCTAATAATACAGAGAAAATGGACATTTAAAAAAAATCTTTTTTAAAAAAGACTGAAAGCTCCCAGATAATTATGCTGGTGTTTAATCTGTGCTAGTACTACTGTATTAAGTGAGGCTTTTCTGGCATGTCAGAAAACCCTTCTTTTATTAGTAGATGTGGGATAGGCAATTCTAATCTCAAATGACAGAATATGTATAAATATGAAGATAAAAAGGTAAGTGAATCTTTTTCCAGACTAATTATTTTGTGGCTATCTTAACAACATAGAAAAATTGTAATATTATCTTCTTTGGGTAAAACTGATAATATTTCCTTTATGTTTGAGAAACTGTATGATTTATTCACCATATAAGTCATCAGTAGCTCAAGCCAGTGAAGATTTCCTATATTCTTAGGATTTTATATATATATATATCTTGGGATATTCATAGGATCCTTGGTAGGTAATTTAATACCTTTGTCTGATGAACACATATTTAAAATCCATTATATTCTTCATTACCAGAAGTTTATCTGTATTCTTATTAGAATTGTATTTGCTGACACGTTTAACACTTGCCTTAACCTCCACCCAGCCTAAATCCTGTGTTCCAATTCAGTCCTGATCCTCTTTGAGTAAATACTTAACATTTCATTAAGAGTCTTAACGTTAATTTAAAGAATGAATGATTTCAGAATCCTTGCTTAATGAATGGTAGAAACACTTCAGGTAAGGAAATGTTTGATGTTCTCATCACACTGTAAAAGGTGTTTCTCACTGGTGAATATATGGGGAAAACAAGGTAGGATAACTATTCAGAAGCAAAACCACAGAAGTAGTTTATCATCAAGACATCAGAGACTGAGTGATAAGACCAGCAAAGTGTTTTGGAATTTACTAGAATTGAGCAACCAGGAATGAAAACTATTTATACACTAAAAACTTTTTATGCTGAGAACTTTGGATAGAAGATTGACTATGATCTTTGGCCACCTGATGCGGAGAGCTGACTCATTTGAAAAGACCCTGATGCTGGGAAAGATTGAGGGCAGGAGGAGAAGGACGACAGAGGATGAGATGGTTGGATGGCATCACCGATACAATTGACTTGGGTTTGGATGGACTCTGGGAGATGGTGATGGATAGGGAGGCCTGGCGTGCTGCGGTTCATGGGGTTGCAAAGAGTCGGACACTACTGAGCAACTGAACTGAACTGAATGTCAATATGACCACAAGAGTTTCTCTGCAGGAAAGACACAGATAATACTTTCTATTATCTAAAGAATAATCAACTTTCAGAATCACTCTTTTATTTATATTAAAAATACTAAATGCATGAACGTAGGTATTCTGAGTGTATGACTTTGAATGTAATACATTTGTTTGTGACATTCTCATATTCACTATCAGAACACTGCAATTTCTTCAGCTTCCCATTGATTGCTAATGCCAATGAATATAGTTTGATGTAATTTTCAGATCTTTTGAGACTTGCTGTTGAATTTAAAGAAGAAAGTATTTCTATATGTAACCATATCATTTTCTCAACCAAAATCATAACAATGCACGTGCCTGGATCTTTAAGAAATTCTGTGACCTCAGAGCTTTCATCAAGACAGTTTTAAATTTGATTTTGCCTTTGCAGACTGGCATGCATCTGAAAAGTAAACAAGTTCGCAAGTATAGGATTTTTCTCTATTATTGATGAAATCTGAGTTATTTTGTTTAAGGGCATAAAGAGTATTTTCTGTTGACTGGCTCTGCATTTGGACTCAAAGCAGAGACCTAACAATTAAAATTTATGAAAACAGTTTTTCATAAATCTTTCCCTGTTGACGTCTCCCATGTTTAAAATGGAAACATACGTTATGTTCTATAAGAGACAGCTGGCTGCTCTGATTTAGCGATAAACCTAATGAAACAAAGTTGGATATGAATATCCAAAACTTAGAAGGTGCAGTTCTTCATTATGGCACTGATTAAAAGATAATTATTCAATCATGTGTAATATTGGCTCAGGAAAAAGCCTAGGGCAATGGGTAATGACTGAGTTATTTGAAAATTACGAATAACATTCAGTTATTTATCAATACTTTACCTTATTAGGTAATTTGACAGTGTATTTAAAGAAACATTACCATGCTGATTAAGAACAGATATTTTAGTTTGTTATCTTTGAAAAGATATTCATTTGCCTTTACTATAAAGTTTATCTTAGATATTTGCATTCAGAATGTTTGATGACTGATTAGCACATTAAGCTTACTGATAGTTTTATAGCTCCTTTTTAAAATTTTAAACATTTTTAAAATTAAATATAATTAGCAATTTGTAACAGTAGTCTGTACTCTGAGACCTTGAAAACATAGTACATTTGCTAATTAAACTTTACAAATGCTGTAGAAAACTAAAGGATATAGTAAGATCCCTTCACACTTTGAGAAGCCAGTTTCTTCAGCAGAACCCAGTAGTCTTCCCAGGTTTTATGGCATTTTACATAAGGACAGGAAGGAAAGCAAAGTGCTAATTCATTTCATTGAAGCCAACAAGAGGATTTAGATGGAAAGGACTAACCACATTTAACTTCTCTGCCAATTTGCATTTTTCCTACCTAGTGTTACTGTACCCTAATGCAATTAACCTGAGTGAAATCGACAGAGGCACTGGAATTAACAGCTTTCTCCTTTGAAAAGTCAACAAATGTTTAATGATCAATTGAGCTCAAATTTCTGGTTTTAACCTTTATCAGAAGAAAGGCTAGAACCTTGGGAAGATATGGAGGTCAGTTCAGTTCCATCTGAAGGAGCCAAATATAGCACGTTCCCCTTTAGGATCTGTTCTTTTACTTTGATGCTCTTTCGATGAATTCCTTTGCCCTCTGTCTCACAGAAATTGTATAAAGTCTATATACTCTTTTGATCAGTAGAAACACATACAGGTTTGACATCTTTGTAGTCTGAACAGTCTGTTGCTATTTAGCGGAGGAGGTATTACCTAGTGGTTAAAGCAGGAATTCTGGACTCATATCAGCATTTCACATACAAGCCTTTTCATCTTGGTTAGTTAACTGAGTCCCACATGTCTCCAGTTTTCCCACTATTAAAAGAGGATAATGAAAGACCAAATTCACTAGGTTGAAGTGAGATTTTAGTCATGTGTGTGTGTGAAGAATGTTTCACAATAAAGAGCTCTGGAAAAATCAGCAAGAAAGATAACCGAATTTTTTAAATTATCCAAAGATTTAAACAGTTACTTTGCAAAAAAGAAGATACTAAATGAGCAAGAAACAAATAAAGTATTCTACATCATTACTCATCAAGAAAATGCTAATTAAAACTGCAGTGAGATACTACTATACCCCGACAGTTGCTGAAAATAAAAAAGACTAACAGTACCAAGAATTGACAGGGATGTAGAGAAACTAGAACTCTCGTTGCTGGTAGAGTGAATTAATACAACCACTTTGGAAAAGGGTTCTCAGTGTCTATGCCTTTCCTCTGACTCATCAGTCCTGCTGCCAAATATATACATATAGGGACAGGCTAGGCATACATAACAGGGATGTGATAGGCATACATAGAGAGATATGCTGGGAATGGGAGCTTATGTCCAGAGATACAAACAAGAATGTTAATAGCAGCTTTATTCATAGTTGCCTAAAACTACAAATAACCCAAATACTTGTCAACAGAATGGATAAAGCATAGTATATCATGAAGTTCTAGCCACATTGAGGAAAAAACAAACTGCTCCAGGCTACAGTGTGGGTGAATCTCAGATACAATGAGCAGTGCTTTAGCCACTTATTCTAGTAAACTTTTTAAAAAAAGAAAGTGTCTGGGACTTCCCTGGTAGCTTGGTGGTAAAGAATCTGCCTGCCAATGCAGAAGACACGGGTTATATCCCTGGTCTGGGAAGATCCCATGTGCCACAGAGCACCTAAGCTCATGCACCACAGCTATAGAGGCTGTGCTCAGGAGCCTGGGAGCTGAGACTTCCGAGCCCACTTGCCACAGCTAGTGAAGCCTGCATGCCCTCGAGCCTGTGCTCCACAATAAGAGAGGCCCCCACAATGAGCAGCCCTCACACGGCAACTAGACAGTAGCCCCTGCTCACCATAAGCAGAGAAAAGCTCACGCAGCAACAAGACCCAGCACAGCCAAAAAATAAATAAATAAAATAGAAAAAAAAAAGTGCATGACACATACTAAGAGTTTAATAAATGTTGAGCCATTCTTCATAGTTTTCTTCAAAGGCTGTGCCTTTACTTTCATCAGAAACACTTTTGTCCATATTTTGTCCAAATTCTTAGAGTCCTTTTAAGATCTCTCAAGTAACTTAGAATCACTGATATCAAGTCCTCCTCCTACTGTGGAGAGTGAGACACTTCCTATGACCAGTTTTTTTCCTTTCTCCTTCCTTTCTACTCTTCTGACTCCCTTGTCGTCATAGCTGCTGGCTTCCAGTTCTTTTGAGTAGCTGAGTTGTTCCTGCCAAATTCTGTTGTTATGGATCCAGTCAACAATCAACCACTCATAACTGATGACAGTAATTTCAGGCTTTTGCAAGATTTTATCCTTTCACCTCTTGCACCGTGGTAGGAACAAAACTGCCTGATGAGAGTTAACTTCTAAAAAATTGATCTATAATGGATAGAAAGACAGGTTTTATAGAATGTCAACCAAAAATTGGTTTACATTATAAGCTTAACATGTGTGAGTTAATTTGAATCAGTATTTTACTTGAAAAAGAACATTTGACTTTTAGGACAAATTAGAAAAATTCTATTTTATGAAAATAGAAAACATTTTGTGTGACTTTTAAAAAATCAATTGTGTGTTTAAACACCCAAAACCTCCTTTAACGTCTGCACAAGTAAGCTGAAACATGATTTACTATGACATTGCGCTGTAGTCAGCATTCATAGCTAAAGAATCTTTTGTTATGTTATTTACTCTCATACACCCGATAACAAAAAGCCATGCAAGGAACTGTGCTAGCAGTGTTTTAAGAGCAAATAGTATTTGGAGCAGACATTTCTTTGATGCTGCCCTGACATGCACAATGTTTCCCAAAGAAAACATTTGACCATTAGAAATTATTAGAGGTTAGCTTTGTAAAAATTATTTACTTAGAATTTCTCAGAAAGAAATATTACTTAAGTTTTATCTAGTTTGTTCAGATGTGTTTATTGAGATTAGTAACTGCTTGGCTGGTCTTGTAATTATTTTACTTTAATTTTTATGATAAGGCATAAGAGTCCTGGAGAAGGAAACGGCAACCCACTCCAGTACTCTTGCCTGGGAAATCCCATGGACAGAGGAGCCTGGTGGGCTGCAGTCCGTGGGGTCAGAAAGAGTCAGACATGACTTAGCAAATAAACAGCAACAACAACAATTGGAGAGTCATAACATCTTTATATTTAAAAACTGTGTAACTTTGATATTGTTTGCCGTTGGATTCTCCTAGACATTTTAACTTTATGCATATGATCTAAATTAAATTAGATTTACCTCAGTAATAAAAGGTAGCTGCTTTTACTGATGTTTTCACATACAAAGAAACTAAGATTCAGAGAGATTGAATACAACGCTTGAAGTAATATGGTAAATTGGACTCTTGTTACTTGTGAGGTTTTACGGTACCTCGCTGTTGCCTCGGTTTATCTTAAAACCTTCCTCACAGATCTGCCACTGCTCCATGCTCTCCACCTCATAAGGTGCTCCATCACTTATCTTTAGACATGTGCAACTTTCAGGTATCTGTGGGACATGCAGAACCCAATTAAACATAAAGTTTGAAACATAGGATTTGACCCAGTATGATGTATGCATCATCAAATAGAAGATTGGCCTATGAGAGGGTTAGATTGCCAGCATGGTGTGGAGTGGGGAAAATGATCAAAAGATAGAACTTCTAAATCCCAGCATGTGAGGAATGGGAGGAAGGAAAGGGGTCCGTGTCTCCTAGACAGAGAAGGACTCATGGAAAGCTTCTAGAAGATTCTAGCAGGGTATCAGCTACTAAGTGGTTCTGAGTAGGTGGTGTTTAAGAGGATCAATCATATGTAGTACAGAGATCTGGGAAGGTAAGGACTGGGTCTGTCTATTATTGCATGTGTCATTTTACTGGCTTTTGTAGACTCCGGGTAAGAATAGTTTTGTTAGAGTTTTGGTAAACTAAAGCTGGATTATGACAAATGAGATGTCAGAAAGTAGAGACAAATATGACATTCAGTTCTGTAGCCAGTGACTTCAGTCTATACTAGCTCCATTGCAGGGGCCTAGTAGGCACATGTAGCTACTACAGATCCAGGTCAGCTCTAAGTGTCATATACACACAGGATTTCGAAGACTTAGTGTGAAAAAGACATTATGTAAAACATGCCATGTTCATATTTATTATATAATGAAATGACAATGTTTTGAATATATTAGAGCAATTAACATATAAGAATAAAAATAATTTTACATGTTGCTTTTTACATTTTTTTAAAATTCAGCTTCTAGAACATTTAAAATTATATGTGTGGTTACATTCATGGCTCACATTATATTTCTATTGGACAGGACTAGTATGCCTATTCTTTTAAGAGAAGATCCTTTAAAAAGAAAAGATAGCAAGTAAATAGTTTCTATAGATGCAAGGTTAAAGGGAAGGACTTTTTAATTTGTGCCTGAACTGCCCACCCACCCCCTGCCCCGCCCAACCCCAGGAAAAGGAGAAGGTGAAGGGAAGATAAGAGAGTTTGAGTAGTGGAACATGATTTCCCAGTAGGTGAGGCTCAGAAGTCATACTTGCAATGTGGAGGAATGGGATCTTCTCTCTGACATAAGGAGTTGAGAACAGATCTAAATTTAGATAAATATGTAGGTGGGGATAGAGACAGGCAAGTTGAGAGAATCAGGGGTACAAAAGGTATTCAGGTTTAATAGCTCACATAGATCAAATCTAGGATAAAATGATGTGACCTGCAAAAATTTTTGACTAAATTAGGATTTTTGTGTATTGGGGATTATATCTTTTCTTTCTTTTTTTTGTCATAAGGAGCTTTTTGTTAAGATAATTCATAATGAAGACTTATACCTGATCTAAAAATAAAGTGCTATTCTTGACACAATTTATGTTATTTACAGGAGAGTTTGATACTGTGCAAAGCCCCTCCACACCCATCAAAGACCTTGATGAAAGAACTTGCAGGAGTTCTGGGTCAAAGTCCCGAGGAAGAGGCCGGAAAAATAATCCCTCCCCACCTCCTGACAGTGACCTGGAGGTATGCTGACTTATCTTTAAGAGACGTAATAGATATTTTATCCTTTTGGATATGTTCTATACTTTACAGTTTCATGAAGTTTCAAACTTAAAAGGACGTATCATGAAATGAGTGGACCTACATGGAAGCTGGCATTTAACAGCTCTAAAACTGGAGATTTCATCCATTATAATACAAAATTAAAGACAGTAACTTAAAAATGATGCTTTACAAATTCCAGGCTGGAGATAGTTGGATCTTTTGATACAGAAGGCACAAATAGAAAATTATTATTTAAAAATAAAGCCATTGTGTGATAAGAAGCACTGTATTTGGGAGTAATAGGGTAATGAAAGGTATTCGTATAGGTCAGTAAATTTTAAAAGATAAAATTAATCTGCATGGAAAGGAAAGGTGGTCATTGGATAGTGAGAAAAACTTTAATCATTTGATACATGTGGTAAAATGTTTATATCTGTGTCATTTCTTCAAGTTGGGATGGATCTCTTGACATATATTCATACTAAGCAGGCTGATTTTTCTTACAAAACATCAAAGAAACTATTCTTAACCATAATGTGTTACTTCTTATATAACTGAGTATTTTAATTATGAAAAAAGTTTAATCTTCAGATTTAATAAGGTCAAGGAATAGTCATTATACCACTTCCTAAAAGATCACTTCCTTGATGTTTTGAACTAAAAAAGATGCACAACTTGAAGGTTGCGAGTTAAGTTTTATTTGGGGCAAATTGAGGACTGCTGCCCCAGAGACAGCATCTCAGAGAGCTCTGAAAGACTGCTCTTTAGCGGCAGTGGGGGAAGGTCAATATATGAAGTTTGGTGAAGGGGGAGTTCAATACCATTAAACACTTATTTTACAAAAGGTTTTTTGTTAGTCGTAAGGATCTGATGTCACCATGAAGGGATTTAGTGCTTCTCTAGACATGCTCAAAATTCTCTAAGCCAGGCTTCAGTAGTATGTGAACCGTGAACTTCCAGATGTTGAAGCTGGATTTAGAAAAGGCAAAGGAACCAGAGATCAAATTGTCAACATCCGTTGGATCATCGAAAAAGCAAGAGAGTTCCAGAAAAACATCTACTTCTGCTTTATTGACTATGCCAAAGCCTTTGACTGTGTGGATCACAACAAGAGATGGAAGTAACAGACCACCTGATCTGCCTCCTGAGAAATCTGTATGCAGGTCAAGAAGCAACAGTTAGAACTGGACATGGAACAACAGACTAGTTCCAAATCGAGAAAGGAGTACATCAAGGCTGTATATTGTCACCTTGCTTATTTAACTGATATACAGAGTACATCATGAGAAACGCTGGACGAGAAGAAGCACAAGCTGAAATCAAGATTGCTGGGAGAAATTTCAATAACCTCAGATATGCAGATGACACCACCCTTATGGCAGAAAGTGAAGAAAAACTAAAGAGCCTCTTGATGAAAGTGAAAGAGGAGCGTGAAGGAGTTGGCTTAAAACTCAACATTCAGAAAACTAAGATCATGGCATCTGGACCCATCACTTCATGGCAAATAGATGGAGACACAGTGGAAACAGTGATAAACTTTATTTCTTTGGGCTCACAAATCACTGCAGATGGTGACTGCAGCCATAAAATGCTTGCTCCTTGGACAAAAAGTTATGACCAACATAGACAGCATATTAAAAAGCAGAGACATTACTTTGCCAACAAAGGTCTTTCTAGTCAAAGCTATGGTTTTGCCAGTGGTCATGTATGGATGTGAGAGTTGGACTATAAAGAAAGCTGAGCACTGAAGAATTGATGCTTTTGAACTGTGGTATTGGAGAAGACTCTTGAGAGTCCCTTGGATTGCAAGGAGATCCAACCAGTCCATCCTAAAGGAAATCAGTCCTGGGTGTTCATTGAAAGGACTGATGCTGAAGCTGAAACTCCACTACTTTGGCCACCTGATGCGAAGAACTGACTCTTTGGGAAAAAAACCTGATGCTGGGAAAGATTGAAGGCAGGAGGAGAAGGGGACGACAGAGGACAAGATGGTTGGATGGCATCACTGACTCAATGGACATGAGTTTGAGTAAACTCCAGGAGTTGGTGATGGACAGGGAGGCCTGACGTGCTGCAGTCCATGGGGTTGCAGAGAGTCAGACATGACTGAACAACTGAACTGAACTGAACTGAACATGAGGAAATGCAAAGATTGAGGCCGTAAAATCTGTTCCTAAAAACATCCAACTATCTAAAGACCAGATTTGCTGGAACACAGGGTGCCTCATTCCACCTGAACTCCCTCAGAGGTTGTTGAAGGTCAACAGCTTATAGCAGCATGGGGTTCAGTCTCTATAGAGGCAGGTGGCAAATGCTTTTGTTGTTCCGTCCTTGGAAGTGCTCTTGGTAAGTGCCAATTTGTGGTTGACAACGTGAAGAACAACAGTAGCAGATTAAAATGCCTTCAGGAAGGCAGAGGTGATATAAATGAGTGGGCTGGGCGAGGGAGCCTGCAGATTTTGAAGAGGAAGCACTGGCTAGTCTCAAGTGGCCCCTGCATCAGTGCTCCGTGGAATGTCAGCCAGCATTGATACAGATCGGAAGTTTGTCCACTACATGCAGAACCCTGAACTTTGCAAGAGGTCTAATCTCAAAATGTTGATTGATTATTTGAAATCTTTCAAAACAGTGTGCAGGCCAAACAACATATCTTATCACCTAATGTGACCCTAAGGTCCACACTTTACAATTTGTATTTAGGGATTGCTCATTGATTCTTTTAAATATTTTTAAAAATTTAATTCTTAAAGTAAAATCGTGTATATTGTTTGATGCTGTTTTCACAAATGTATATTTGCAATACTGAAAAAAGAGCTACCTGAATGCAGTGATGGTAGTTACTACTTAAATATAGTAAGCTAAAGATGATTTCCATTTTGCTTTTCCTTCTGAGTGCCTGATTCTTTTTTTAAAAACAATAAAACATGATTATTACTTTTTTAATCAGAAAAAAAATTAATTACTTGCATGAATTGCTAAACTTCATCACCTAAAATTTTGTAAAAGCACACTTTTATCATAAAATCCAAATGTGTCTTTTTGGAAATTAAGTGCAAGTAAATATTTGGATGAATTCTTTCAAATTAGGACATCTAAATTCAGCTTATTATATTTATTTGTCACTCTTCCTTCTAGGTTTTACAGGAAATAAATCTGGCAAATTTGGGGGAAAAAATAATAGAGTAGCATTTGTTGTTCAGCCACTAAGTTGTGTCCAAGTCTTTGTGACCCCATGGACTACAGCACACCAGGCTTCCCTGTCCTTCATCATCTCCCAGAGTTTGCTCAAACTCATGTGCATTGAGACAGTGATGCCAACCAACCATCTCATCCTCTGTTGGCCCCTTTTCTCTTGCCCTCAGTCTTTCCCAGCATCAAGGTCTTTTCCAGTGAGTCAGCTCTTTACATCAGGTGGCCAAAGTATTGGAGCTTCAGCTTCAACATCAGTCCTTCCAATGAATATTCAAGGTTGACTTCCTGTAGGATTGGCTGATTTGATCTTCTTGCTGTCCAAGGGACTCAGTTTTCTCTACAGTGGTGTCAAGATTATATCCAACAACAAAGCAAGATGCTTTCTACTTGTAAAGAGATTTCTCTTTCCTTAGAATTTGATGGCTCTCTGATATTTATCTTTTTCTCCAGCGTGTGTTTGTCTGGGACTTGGATGAAACCATCATTGTTTTCCACTCGCTGCTTACAGGATCTTATGCCCAGAAGTATGGCAAGGTAAGGATTCAAAAAATTTTATCCCAAGACACCTTGTTAGCATTTTATTTATAATAAATTTAAAAGCCGTTTAAAAATGCATTGAAGTGTTTTTATTGCAGCCTATAAAATCTGCTCTTAATTATTTATTTCTAGTAGCTCATTGTTATTCAGCAAGAACTGAAAAATTTTATAAAACGTAATTTAAAATCATATTCTTTTTTCCTTCTTCATTATAAGTTTGAGTTTTCTACATGAGAAACCAAGCTTCTTACTCCGACATAGTTATTTTAGAAAATGTTTTCATGAAATGCAGTTTAAACATTATGAAATGTATATTATCTTCTACTCCGGGAACTTTAAGAAATTGTTTGAATTGGCATGTTGCACCAAATGTTGCTATGAAATGGCATTTGAAGTAAGAAGTAATCTTTTGTCTGACAGCTCCTTTGGATTTATGAATATAATTATTTTTTGGTAACTTTGAGGAAGCATATTGTAGTGGCTGAGGGTAATATGCCTTCACACACAAATATTGAGACAGATGGTCTCATTACTTTCCTTTGTCTTTTGCCATTATTTTTATAGTTCACTTGCTTCTTGTAGCAGTGTTGTTTTATAGGCATGTTAGGTTGTTTCAGAGACTGATGCACCTGCAACAGACTTTTTGGCTGGAAATGCCATTTGAGTCTTTGATTCTGTAGGACTCATAGTCTAACGAGAGTCAGTTCAGAGCATGGCCTGCCTTTGATCACTGTAGTCGAAGTTGTATCTGACCGTTCCCTTTTCATATTATGCGGAAGTGTCCCCTTAACATCTTTATAGAGTCACACTGTTTTATAGGGTCTCATGTCAGCTCAACATGCAGTTTTTAACAACTTTGTTAAGCTTTGTCTTGTTGTTGTTGTTCAGTCACTCAGTCATGTTCAACTCTTTGTGACCCCATGGTCACATGCTTTATGCCAGGCTTCCCTATCCATCACCATCTCCTGGAGCTTGCTCAAACTCATGTCCATCGAGTCTGTGATGCCAACTTCTAGTGATAAATTAATTTCACTAAATCATTACCTCCTAAATTGCACTCTTAGTGAATCTGTGGTGAATTATAGTATAGGTAATGAAAGTTGCCCCCACAGTCAGTCTCTCCAATCTGGAAGCTTCCATAAGCCTCTTATCCTTATCCATCAGAGGGTAGACAGAATGAAAACCACAATCACAGAAAACTAATCAAACTGATCACACGGATCACAGCCTTGTCTAACTCAATGAAACTATAAGCCATTCTGTGTAGGGAAACCCAAGACAGACGGGTCGTGGTGGAGAGTTCTGACAAAACATGGTCCACCGGAGAAGGGAATGGCAAACCACTTCAGTATTCTTGCATTGAGAACCCATGAACAGTATGAAAAGGCAAAAAGATAGGACACTGAAAGATGAACTCCCCAGGTAGGTAGGTGCCCAATATGCTACTGGAGAAGAGTGAAGAAATAACTCCAGAAAGAATGAAGAGATGGAGCCAAAGTGAAAACAATGCCCAGTTGTCGATGTGACTAGCATGGAAGTAAAGTCTGATGCTGTACAGAGCAGTATTGCATAAGAACCGGGAATGTTAGGTCTGTGAATCGAGGTAAATTAGAAGTGCTCAAACAGGAGATGGCAAGAGTGAACATCGACATTTTAGGAATCAGTGAACTAAAATGGACTGGAATGGGCGAATTTAATTCAGATGACCATTATATCTACTACTGTGGGCAAGAATCTCTTAGAAGAAATGGAGTGGCCCCCATAGTCAACAAAAGAGTCTGAAATGCAATTCTTGGGTGCAGTCTCAAAAATGACAGAATGATCTCTGTTCGTTTCCAAGGCAAACCATTCAATATCACGGTAATCCAAGTCTATGCCCAAACAGTAAGGCTGAAAGCTGAACGGTTCTATGAAGACCTACAAGACCTTCTAGAACTAACACCCAAAAAAGATGTCCTTTTCATCATAGGGACTAGAATTCAAAAGTAGGAAGTCAAGAAATACCTGGAGTAGCAGGCAGATTTGACCTTGGAGTACAAAATGAAGCAGCGCAAAGGCTAACAGAGTTTTGCCAAGAGAACGTGCTGTCATAGCAAACACCCTCTTCCAACAACACAAGAGAAGACTCTACACATGGACATCGGCAGATGGTCAGTACTAAAATCAGACTGATTATATTCTTTACAGCCAAAGCTGGAGAAGCTCTATACAGTCAGCAAAAAACAAGACCAGGAGCTGACTATGCCTCAGATCATGAACTCCTTATTGCAAAATTCAGAACTTAAAGTGAAGAAAGGAGGGAAAACCACTAGACTATTCAGGTATGACCTAAATCAAATCCCTTATGATTACAGTGGAAGTAACAAATAGATTCAAGGGATTAAATCTGATAGACAGAGTGCCTGAAGAACTATGGATGGAGGTTCGTGACATTGTACAGGAGGCATTCATCAAGACTGTCCCCAGGAAAAAGAAATGCAAAAGGCAAAATGGTTGTCTGAGGAGGCCTTACAAAGAGCTGAGAAGAGAAGCAAAAGGCAAAGGATATACCCCTTTGAATGCAGAATTCCAAAGACTAGCAAGGAGAGATAAGAAAGCCTTCCTCAGTGATCAATGCAGAGAAATAGAGGAAAACAATAGAATGGGAAAGACTAGAGATCTCTTCAAGAAAATTAAGGATACCAACAGAGCATTTCATGCAAAGATGGGCACAATGAAGGACTAAAATGGTATGGACCTGACGGAAGTAGAAGATATTAAGAAGAGGTGGCAAGAATACACAGAACTCTACAAAAAAGGTCTTCATGACCCAGATAACCATGATGGTGTGATCATTCACCTAGAGCCTGACATCCTGGAATGTGAAGTCAAGTGGGCCTTAGGAAGCATCACTGCGAACAAAGCTAGTGGAGGGGATGGAGTTCCAGTTGAGCTATTTCAAATCCTGAAAGATGATGCTATTAAAGTGCTATACTCAGTATCCCAGCAAATTTGGAAAACTCAGCAGTGGCCACAGGACTGGAAAAGGTCAGTTTTCATTCCAGTCCCAAATAAGGCAATGCCAAAGAATGATCAAACTACTGCACAATTGCACTCATCTCACAAGCTAGCAAAGATGCTCAAAATTCTCCAGGCCAGGCTCCAACAGTACGTGAACTATTTCACTGTTTCAGATATTCAAGGTAGATTTAGAAAAGGCAGAGGAACCAGAGATCAAATTGCCAACATCCATTGGATCATACAAAATGCAAGAGAACTCCAAAAAAAACATCTTCTGCTTTATTGATTACACCAAAGCCTTTGACTGTGTAGATCACAACAAACTGGAAAATTCTTCAAGAGATGGGAATACCAGACCGCCTGACCTGCCTCCTGAAAAATTTGTATGCAGGTCAAGAAGCAACAGTTAGAACTGGACATAGAACAACAGACTGGTTCCAAATTCAGAAAGGAGTACGTCAAGGCTGTATATTGTCACCCTGCTTATTTAACTGATATGCAGAGTACATCATGCTAAATGCCAGGCTGGATGAAGCACAAACTAGAATCAAGATTGCCGGGAGAAATATCAATAACCTCAGATACTAGGATGACACCATCCTTATGGCAGAAAGTGAAGAAGAACTAAAGAGCCTCTTGATGAAAGTGAAAGAGGAGAGTGGAAAAGCTGACTTAAAACTCAACATTCAAAAAATGAAAATTATGGCATCTGGTCCCATCACTTCATGGCAAATAGACGGGGGAATAATGGAAACAGTGAGAGACTTTATTTTGGCGGGGGGCGGGGGGCTCCAAAATCACTGCAGATGGTGACTGCAGCTATGAAATTAAAAGACACTTGCTTTTTGGAAGAAAAGTTATGACCAACCTAAACAGCATATTAAAAAGCAGAGACATTGCTTTGCCAGCAAAGGTCTGTCTAGTCAAAGCTATGGTTTTTCCAGTAGTCATGTGTGAAGTGAGAGTTGGACTATAAAGAAAGCTGAGTGCCAAAGAATTGATGCTTTTGAACTGTAGTGTTGGAGAAGACTCTTGAGAGTCCCTTGGACTGCATGGATATCCAACCAGTCCATCCTAAAGGTGATCAGTCCTGGGTGTTCATTGGAAGGACTGATGCTGAAGCTGAGACTCCATTACTTTGGCCACCTGATGCAAAGAAGTGACTCATTTGAAAAGACCCTGATCTGGGAAAGATTGAAGGTGGGAAAAGAAGGGGATGACAGAGGATGAGATGGTTGGATGGCATATCCAACTCAATGGACATGAGTCTGAGCAAGCTCCGGGAGTTGTTGGACAGGGAGGCCTGGCGTGCTGCAGTCCATGGGGTCACAAAGAGTTGGACATGACTGAGTGACTGAACTGAACTGAATGAATGTTGCTAAACAGATGAAAGGTAACAATTTTGTATAATGACCATTTCAAAAAGGGAGTCTTGCAGAGAGTTATGGTTGAGCACGAATGAACTTATGGTTGCTGGCGGGGGAAGGATAGGGGAAAAGGATAGTTAGGGAGTTGAAGATGGCCATGTACACACTGCTGTATTTAATGGATAACCTAGAAGGACCTACTGTATAGCAGAGGGAACTCTGTTTATGTGGCAGCCAGGATGGGAGGGGAGTTTGGGGGGAAATGATACATGTAAGTGTATGGCCGAGTCGCCTTTGCTGTTTACTTGAACCTATCACAGCATTGTTTGTTAATTGGCTATACCCCCAATACAATAACATGTTAAAAAAAGTAACAGACTCTATATGCAAAACAAAAAAGCAAAAGGAGTCTTAGTCCCTTTATCACAATCATTATCTTAATTCATTGGTCTCCAGGATGGATGCTTATGTGTCAGATACACACAAGGTGAGATAAAGAGAAAATATATTGACGTGTGTGTATGTATACATACACGTTTATGCCCCACAATTTCTCCTGTTATCTGTTTCACAATGCGGGTACATTATAAATACATGTAAATGATTACAACTTTAAAAATATGTATGTGA